ATAGTGACTAAAACTGCAGTCTGAGTATATTCTGTGGATGCACACTCGTGTATTTAGGAACAAGGCTGTAGATGTAACAATGCTACATAATATGTACGGTTGGTTGTTAAGTGTTTAACCACTGGTTTGAACAGTTTCAATGAAGAGTTACCAGCAGTTATTTGAAGAAAAAAGAGCAAAATTTCTTACTCACTGGAACACAAAAGTTATTGCTTTTTTGGTTATAAACGATAAAGTCTTCGAAAAATCTCAGTCTGTCATTTACTAGCAAAGATTTCAGGTCAACTATTTTATTGGTAATGCCGATTATACCATTGTACGGGTGTCCAATAACTTTTTCAATAGTTTTGGACCATTTTAACGTGACTTATTTTTCCTCATTATTGACTACCATTAGTAAATATCCCGTTTCGTTCATAATCCGTGATATACTTTTCTTTTCAGTCAGGTTTTGTGCAGAAACGAACATATTCATGTAAGTGGATGGTGGATTTTACCCTTCCAACTGCAAATCATTCTACGTATCTCCAAATGATATGAATCTTCAAGATTTTTGAAACAAGGAGGATGGGTTAATTCATCAGTAACTTTATTATCATCATCTGGTCATATGCTGTATGGTATTCCGTGGATATTTGTTTCGGTGCTTTTTATTTTCACCGAAGTTATTGTACATGTGATAAACTTGAGAGTTACCCACAATGCATCAATCCCGATCACAACTGAAGCTAAAAACTTACGTATTCTCTATCGTTTCTACCAACCTGAGAATCTTGAGTATTTGTACGTTGCAAGTGTGAACTCGATCAAACAATATAAAGTTGACAATTTGCAATTTGTAACTGAGCGCATTACTGGTCCGCGTAATTTTTCTATTTGCTGTCCATATGATGGAGATAACTATGAAAAGTGTTCTCATGCGGATCGATCTTCCTTACCTTTTGATTATGGATATGATTCTTGTCTTCCTCGCCCAACTGATAATTATGTGAAGACATGGGGTACTTCAGGTTCACCAGGTCCTGAAATACACAGTTTTAACTACTCTGAATGGGATTTTGAATCTCAGTCTGTAAATGATGATCGAATAACTTTTGAAGACAGTTTATATGTGTGCCATACGCTTTATCATGGTTACTGTGAACGACTTAATTTAATCAATGTTAGCCAAGAAGCCCCGTGGTCTGCTGGTGCCCGACTTCCTTTAATGGACAGAAAAAATAAGAATCCAGAAGAAATACCAGTTGTTGGATCACTTCCTCATACACATTCTGTGCTTGTAGTTGGTTCAGAATATATTTACGTAGCTACAGAACCTGATGGACTCGAAGATCTCTCACTTATCAAGTATAATCCTCTAACCGTACGTTTAAAGGACTTTCAATTATGTAGCACTCCACCAAGTTTTGAAAGTAGCGCACAGTTATCAACAAACCCAAGCTTGAAAATACAGTATAAGTCAGGTTTTCGATATAGACCTCCACCAACTAACCTGGAATTTCAAGAGCAACTTTTCAGACCGCCTTATATATTTTTCGTTCTCCAACAACCCGAGGATTCTACGTTTTTACGGTGGCAGTCACGCATAGCTCGGATTTGTGATGGAGACAAGTTTATCTCCTCATATGCGGAACTTAATATTGCCTGCTTTCAATGTGAAACAGTAAAGGACGATGAAAAGGTAAGTATTTGACGTTTCGCTTACCGATATACTTATGCTTGCTGGTTCTGATTCATAATTAATTCAACTTGACCAACTGCATAGTATTATTAGCAGTCACGCAAATATGACAGCCTAGAACATGAAAAATGTGTTCTGGGTAACTAAGTCTTAGCTTATTAGATTAGAAATGTTAAGCATCTGCTCTAAATTTGGATATTTAAACGCCTATGATGGTTTTATAGAAATTCATTGCTTGGTGATACTTTACAAGAATGAAATCAATTGCAAGCTCACGGGAATTAAATCTGAACAAAATTGTGAACAAGTTTTAGGTAGTTGCCTTTTTCATCAATTTTAAGTGTTTACAGCAATTAGCTCCCTTTATCAATTTCTATAAAACAGTAGAAAGACATGCAACGTGTTTCTGAAAAACAAACGTAGCTGGGTCTTATTACACAACTGATAAAGACACCTTAATATGAACACGGAGAAATTCAAATTTAGCCATAGTAATGAAATTGTGCAAAGTTTACGGTTGATTTTAGTGGTGAAGATCGGAATCACTTGATAACGTCTGTAAACATCTAAATGAGGACGAATGGATAAGAATAGCCCAACTAACCGTTACACCACTGACAAGAATAAAGAAGTCTACAACTGAGAACATACTCTGCTTATTGGTTAACAATACTGTGACTTAATGTAATTTCAAATTTGTAATACGACCTAAAATCAAATACTCAATCCATTATAAAAGGTTTACACGTGAAAATCAGAAACACCATCCTTGTAGTCTTTTGTAAAATTAAATTTTTAAAGTTCTTAGGCTAATAGTATCAAGAAATACAAACCCAACTTTTTCTGCATGACCATGTCAAATATCAAAATAACCACTATTATAGTAGACTATTAAAGGTGTACATCAATCAGAAGTTCCGACATAAAAGCATAGATTTAACTAGACCTCTGACACGCTCACTAAATATTAAACAGTCTGTTTGTTCTGTGAATAAGGTATTTGCCTCCGATGGGTTATTCACGAATTTCCAGAGTGATTTAGGCCATGTTTGGCCGGTAAAATGTCTTTCAGGCAATAATTGTGTAATAGAACTACTGGATTAAAAGTGCTGCATAAACTGGACTTTTGCTTACAAACAACGAAGAAAGCTCTTACGACAGTATTTTCATTAACTTTGAAAACATGATTTATCATAAATTCATTATTGTCAGAAAACCAAGCTACACATTCTTAATGCAGACCCATACTTGTAATAAATGTGAATAAAGCAATGTCGACGGCTGGTAAGTTTCAACTGCTCACAAACTTCTACCATGTTTGTAAATATCACTGTAAGAAATTGTCGTGTGAGATTTCTCCGTTGTTTGTAAGCAAAAGTCCAGTTTATGCAGCACTTTTAATCCAGTAGTTCTATTACACAATTATTGCCTGAAAGACATTTTACCGGCCAAACATGGCCTAAATCACTCTGGAAATTCGTGAATAACCCATCGGAGGCAAATACCTTATTCACAGAACAAACAGACTGTTTAATATTTAGTGAGCGTGTCAGAGGTCTAGTTAAGTCTATGCTTTTATGTCGGAACTTCTGATCGATGTACACCTTTAATAATCTGCTGTAATAGTAATCTGCTAGTTGGTGAGAAATTGAAACGTAATGGTCAGACGTAGCTACACTTTTAAGTTGTTTTCCATACGAAGAGATGTAATGCCAACAACATAACCAGGTATGTTGTGTGGTTCCTGATATTAGATGATTTCGTGTTCAAGTCAGATTTGCAACTTTTAGTTGGCAGCAATTAGTCTCTCGTCAACATATTTTTAAATCATGTATTCAAAGAATCAGTTGTGTTTACTTATGAGTCATCGAATCTACCCCTGATCATAAATTTTTATGTCTTAATGTTACTTGGTTCAATATGAATTCTCCTGTTTAAATCACATTTTCTCTTGATTTACTCATTTAAAAACCTCGTGAGCTGATCACGTGAAATACCGTGGCTGTTGTTTGCTTTGGATGAATAGATTTTCGTATTCACATACATCATACTTGTGCCAAATCGATTTCGTCTATAATTGATTGCCTTAATAAAAACAAACATTTATTCACTCGGTTTCATATCTGCAGTACGATCAAAAAAATGAACTTCGTATCTTTCATGTCAACAAACACATTTCATACAAATAACCTCATAGTTTAGTGTTGCCTCTTACTAATAACTTTTATAAGAATTATAAACTTTGGTCCGTGTGTCAAAATTATATCATATTTACAGTATTCTGAATAAAATTTAAGACTGAATTTTTATTGAATATAAAACTGAGTAAGCGTATTATTAGTTGACAGTGTACAACATTAAAATATGTATTTCATTACACTTTGGTGGCACGCAAAACTATTTGATTTCTTTTTCACTCATATAAAAATAGCGAAGTTAGCTATTTAGCTATCCCAATTAAAAACTGTTCCGTTATTTATCCTTTATATGATTCAGCATTTCTATTTTGTCTTTAAATTGCAATTTCCAAGTAGCATTTTGAGCACGCCATTATGTGAGTGGAAAATAAAGGTAGTATGATTGTCAAAGGGAATATGCAAACTACTGATTTCAAGTAGCTAGTTAACTTGAATATGTTTCGCCTGAGCAGCTCTGATAAAGGTATAGCCGAGTTGCATTTCATTCAACGAAATGCATTAATTGTTTAGAATGCATACTAGCTAGATTTCTGAGACACCTTACTGTGCATAACATTGAGATTGTGAAGCATTCTGGTCTGTAAGATACGATATTTGCCTAGAAGTCATTAGTCGTGATTCATCCATGCATCAAAAAGATAATTTCTCAAAGGATATGTACATAGTAAATGAAATATACTCACTTCGTCTTAATAGCATCCGATGTTCTTCACTGTTCAAAATCTTCATCCAATCATGATCTCATTCTGTGTTCTGATTCGAAACCTTAATGGGAACTGCCCGACCGTGATTATACAGATGCCATTGTCTTACTATGCGATAGCATACATACTGTTAAGTTGCACTTTGGCAGTGATGTCTTGGTACATCAATTTTTGATGGTGTGTTCATGTGATGCAAATGCTTCCGTGTTGTTCACTGTTTGATAGCCCTGATATTTATCGGGGTAAACGAAGAGACGGTCAGCTCACAAAGTGATATCATGAGATGAAAGACACTTGTATCAGGCTGGGATTTTTGGAGAGGGTCCTAGAATTCATGCAGTCTAGTAGCCGCAGAAGCAATTTGATGTAGGTCAATCAAAATTAGTGGCGATTATGGTTTAGCCTTAATGTTTCTTCCACTGTCGTAAAGTAATTAATTTCATTTCACGATGTTATATATCTCACAATAATACTAATATTAGAAGAGCATTTACCAGCAAAGAAATTCTTTCTGTAACTTCTCATCAAAGTTGTAGGGTTAAATAGTGTTTCTATAAGACAAATGCTGAGAATTCCATTCTGTGTTATAAGTACTGTTTTTGGAATAAAGTAAATTATTATTATTATTAATATATCTATAGAGGTTAACTGTTAATATCAGTTGGTGAGAAAACGCAAAATCATGAATCAGGAAGAGAAATTGAATAAGTTGTGGAACTTGGTTAAGTAGTTTTATGTAGTCTAGCAACATTAAATGATGAATAGCGTTCAAAAATTGTCATCATAAAACTAAGAGCTTGGGAACAGGAGTATTGTTCATAAGCTGAGAAGATTCATAGTATTTATAAACTATGTTAAGAAGTTGGGAGTTTTTATAAGAAAACAAAACGAATGAAGGAGAATTACACAACAAATTATTGTACATGTCGACGAAAAGGTTTAAGGTTGCGACATTGAAATGGATTGGATAAACGGCTTTTGTGTACACACTTCAGGGTTTTTCTTGTGTTTGGCAGGCGTTTCCGCTGTGGGCAGAATACGCGGTCGAAAAGCCCTTGAATGACCTAGCCCTATTCTACTTATCACTTCCTACTGATGCAGGTGGTGTGTAAGAACAGTGTGGTTAAGAATTTACCTATTGTTTCGTCTAATTTCTGCTTTTGACAAACGTAAAGGAAGATGTTTTTGTGCATATCTAGACAATATCCAACTGATACACATCCTGTCAATTAGGAGAATGTGATTGCAAAAAATCAACTTCGGTAACTAATAATTTGTAGGCCTTATCTTGTAGAACCTGGATTCGCTTTCGGTCATATCTTCTCTTAGTTACTCATATAGTATCTATTTTGTCAATGTAGATGGCACTTTTCTTACAGGTCTTATATTTTCAGTACTTTGTTTGCTTTTACGGCATCGAAAGCATTGTAAAATCATATAAGTGATTACAATATGTTTGCTTATCATTCTCTTCTTATATTAATAGAATAATCGCTTCTTTCAGTGTGCATTATGAGAACCTTGGTCATTCAGTTAGAATTAATTTCCTCTCTCCCTTTTAGTAGTGGATGTACCCCATTGGCACTACCACTTGACTTCTAGTCATGTTGTCTCTGATCCTAATCTAGCCTCATCTGTTTCAGCTTAGGAGACTAGATAGCTTTATCAATAGTCGCATAATATATGTCTCATAACTTGGCATATGAAAAACTTGATCATGGCAACTGAGTTTTTAGTTTGCCATTTTATAGTGTTTGTTTGTGCATTCCTTGTAACTCATGTTGGCTCATATTTCTGTTGTAAGAAAATGAGTTATCTTATACCTGCCTTTATTAGAAACTAATTTGGCATTAAATTATGAGTCATTTAGTGAACTTTTCATTATTACATGTCGATTTTTTTCAGAGATTTTTTCACTAACCGTGTTAGCATACTACTAAATCTTTTTTTATTGCAACAAGAGAATTCTCAATAAAAAAAGACTATAGAGCAGATGATTTATTAATGATTTGATGAATAACTGTAAACATATTTATCAGTCACTAACTCATACTTTTTATATAGGGAACTGTTTTGCCTCTTTCCGTAGCTAAGTTAACCTTCACAGGTG